CACTACAGGCGGTAAACAAGTGGAACACACTAAAGGAGAACTTCGCTCATCAGCGGGGCACAAGGAGGGTCAACACCTCACCAAGTGAGTGAACATTCAACTCCTACGTAAAAGAAATCCCACCTGACAATTTTTTTTTTGCTGGTCGATGTAAAACTGTGGAAGATTTTATACAAATTCGTATTGGAAACTATGTCAACTTTCACGCCTGAATAATAATTTTTTGCAAAAGTTGACGAACTTTTGTGTCAATATTTTCAGCTAAAAATGGAATTTGGGAAGGATGAAGATTTTTATATATCTAAAAATATTCTGTAAAGATAATTTTGTGCTTCCCCGTTTTGTAAGTTTTTCTATACTGGAAATTTTCATGAATTATCTCTCAAGTGGAAAATAATAGTACAATAACTGTACAATAACATACAAAACGTTGGTGAGATTTTTTTTTTTAATTTTGTCAAAAAAAAAAAAAAAAAAAAAAAAAAAAAAAAAAAAAACTCATATTACGTGAACGACGTACGTGTGTGTGTGTGTGTGTTTTCGTTCTGAGGTCCCGGTGTGTGTTTGCTGGTAAGTACTGTTGCTTGATTAAGGGTTAGGGTGGTGGTGTGTGGTGGTGGTGGTGGTGGTGGTGGTGGTGGTGGTAGTGGTGTGGGGGGCGGCGGCTGCTGCTGCTCTCTCCTCTCCTCTCCTGTCTCTCCCTCTCCCTCTTCCTCCTCTCTCCTCGTCGTCCTTCCTGCCTCCTGCCTTCCTCCTCCTATCCTGCTCCTCGGCGCGCTGCCTCCTTCGCTTCCTCCTTCCTTCTGCCCTTCCTCCTTCCTCCTCCTCCTCCTTCCATCCTCCTTCCTTCCTCCTACTTCCGTTCATTCCTCCTCCCCTTCCTTCCCTCCTCCTCCTCCTTCCTTCTCCTCCTCCTCCTCCTCCCTTCCTCCTCCTCCTCCTCCTTCATTCCTCCTCCTCCTCTTCCTCTCCTTCCTCCTCTCCTCTTCCTTCCTCTTCCTCCTCCTCCTCCTCCCTTCCTCCTCCTCCCTTCCTCCTCTTCCTCCTTCCTTCCTTCCTCCTCCTTCCTCCTTTCCTTCCTCCTCCTCCTCCTCCTCCCTTCCTTCCTCCTCCTTCCTCCCTTCCTCCTCCTCCCCCACCTTCCTTACCTCATCCTCCTCCTCCCCTCCTCCTCCTCCTCCTTCCTTCCTCTTCCTCCTTCCTTCCTTCCTCCTCCTCCTTCCTTCCTCCTCCTTCCATCCTCCTCCTCCTCCTCCTTCCATCCTCCTCCTCTCCTTCCTTCCTCCTCCCTCCTCCTATTCCTCCCCTCCTTCCTCCTCCTCCCCCTTCCTTCCTCCTCCTCCTTCCTTCCTTCCTCCTCCTTCCTTCCTTCCTCCTCCTCTACTCCTCCTCCTTACCCTCCCTCCTCCTTCCTTCCTACCCTCCTCCTTCCTTCCTCCTCCTCCTCCTCCTTCCTTCCTCCTCCTCCTTCTCTTTCCTCCTCCTCCTTCCTATCCTCCTCCTTCCTCCTTCCTTCCTCCTCCTTCCTCCTTCCTTCCTCCCTTCCTCCTTCCTTCTCCTCCTCCTCCTCCCCTCCTTCCTTCCTTCCTCCTCCTCCTTCCTTCCTCCTTCCTTCCTTCGTTCCTCATTCCTTCCTTCCTTCCTTCCTTCCTTCTCCTTCCTTCCTTCCTTCCTCCTTCCTTCCTTCCTCCTTCCTTCCTTCCTCCCTTCTCCTTCCTTCCTCCCTCCTCCTCCTCCTTCCTTCCTTCCTTCCTTCCTCCTCCTCCTCCTCCTTCCTTCCTTCCTCCTCCTTCCTTCCTCCTCCTCCTCCCTTCCTCTTCCTCCTCCTCTTTCCTCCTCCTCCTCCTCCTCCTTCCTCTCTCTTCCTCCTTCCTTCCTCCTCCTCCTCCCCCCTTCCTCCTCCCCTCCCTTCCTCTTTCTCCTCCTCCTCCTTCCTCCTCCTCCTCCTTCTTTCCTTCCTCCTCCTCCTTCCTTCCTTCCTCCTTCCTTCCTCCTTCCTTCCTCCTTCCTTCCTTCCTCCTCCTTTCTTCTTCCTTCCTTTCTTCCTTCCTTCCTTCTTCCTGACTTCACTCTTCCTCCTCCTCTTCTTCCTTGAGGTTCCTCCAAGGTGTGTGTGTTAAAACAACGTCTATATTGATCATCTCTAAGCACACAACACATCTGTATTATTATTAGATCACTGAGGAGCCAATTGACAAGTTTCATGTAAAAGAAGGTAATTAATTTTCTCCACGTGACGCCTAAAACGCCGCTATTGAACTACTACATTATAATATAAACCGCTGCGACTAAAATAAAAACAAGAGAGTTATTATAGTTTTAAGCTATTTAGCTTCAAATTTGTCAGTTCTTAAAAATAATGAAAAAAATGGATTATTGGTTTTCGTGGGATTACTGGGGAATGGCTCATCTAATTGGCTTCAAACTTTTGGCTCTGGTAAATATAACTTTAAGAAAGTCTTGCGAATATTGGTTTCTATGTGAGAAAAGATTTTATTTTTGTTTCGGGTTTATAGAGAAAAGTTAGGATTTGTTTATGGCTGTGTCATTGTCAACTTTTTAATTGTAACAAAGGAACTAATTTGTAAAAATCTCTTTTAATGGATTATAAACCTTCAACAAAGATGCATCATACCTGACTCACGGAATCATAATACCCACGGAACGGGTGGGGTTAGAACCCAGGGTGAATGAGTCGTTAGGTTAGGTTAGGTAAGGTTCGTCAGGAAACAGGACAAATGTTTCCTGACGCGGGTCTTAGTCAGATGATGACCCGCCTTTGGAGCTTTTGGTCATCTGACCGAGGCCTTCCGCTGGCTTACCGGTCCACCCCTTTAAAAATTATGGTCATTTATAACCAGTCTAAGAATGTGAATGAGTCGCAAACCTCCAAGCCAGTGCTTAAGCCACTCGGCCAGCTAGCCAGTTTTTAGGCATCATACTTCAAGGAAGGTTTGCATTGTTATTGCGCTACGCTGGTATATCTGTCACGTTTTAGTTTAGCCTCTAATCTCTAAATGGCTTGAAAAAAAAAAAATCTTATTAAACTGAAGTTGAATGATTATGAAAAAATGTATAAAAATATATTTTAGTGACTGTGCAGTCCAAGAGATGTAGCCTCCAAACCTCATAACACTATCCTCTGTACCTCATCCCACGCAAGAAGTTTTTTTCAAGATGAGACAAATTTAACACACATCGAGATAGAAAAATATCGATGAGATAAACTCAGTCCTTCCAAGATGCTGACGAATAAGACACTTGTTCAGCAGGTGGGTATCTTTATTGTTGAAACGTATGGCTTTCTTGGTAGGTTTCATCAGTCAAATACATAGAATGTCTTTTAGGCAGCAGTAGTGACGAAGTAAAGATAAAGCAGTCAGTCCCTCAACCTTGGAGGAATAGCTTGAGGTGGTCAGTCTCTGAGCCTGGAGAAGTTCAGCTCCAAGGTCTGGAACGATACGATTCCCAGGTGCTCAACTTGTCGGTATTTTATGCAGTTTTCAACATACCTCCAAATATACGAGTGGCGATAAGGGCCTTCAACAGGTCCTTGTGCGTTTGCTCAACACACTGAGGAAGTCTAGCTCCTACAGGTGCTAGAAATATATAATATCTCAGAGCCTACATCTCAAATTCTTCATCCAGCTCCCGGCGGTGGGCTGCGTGCCCTCCGTGGCAACCACCTTTAACCCTTTAATGTCTAATCCTTAATGAATATACGTCACCCAGGCGTGTCTGTATGGATTGCAGTGTGTAACTCTTTCTTCGTCTATATTTCTCCCTCAGTTCAATATCTGTAACCCAGAATAGTTTTGAGACTGGAATTCTCTCTCTTCCAAATCGTCAGTGGACGTTACCCGTAGAATACACTCATTTCTGAAGTTAGATGATGTGATTGGATGCACAATTAACCCGCATATAGGAGAAAGAAGCTTATGACGACGATTCTTTCTCCTATGTGCGGGTTATTTGTGTATTGTTCCAGTTACAGTATTGTATTTTTTTATTCTGGATGTGCTGGATCCTTGTCCAAATGTGAATAAATTGTCTCAGGAGTACATGACTCCGTGAGAGGGGAAGAGCTAGCACATATATGCTCACCACTTTGGTTAAAGTGACAAATACATCAACCCATCTGTTCTCTCTTGTCTTCACCTTCAACTCCTTCCAAATTTCCCTTCATTGTCTAATTAGTTAAACCTTCATCCACTGTTTTATGTTTTATTTCAGTAGGATGAGGATGGTCATCTGACATGCTTGTTACTACATACACTATTATAAATACTGAAAAAAATCTATACCCTCTTCCTACTGTCGTATATTCTGTTTACTGATATTCAGCCTAATAATTATACTGTGAATTGCTATAAATGCATTAAATTTAAGGAGCAATTCTTTTACAATTTACCTATATTTTTTCTCCTCGTTTTCCATTGTTACAGTGTTATACGCTTCAAAAACATCCGTGATCGCCCTCACTTTATATCATTCATCCTCACGTTCATTCACCAACATCGACTGCTCTCGCGGACTAAAATGAATGCAGCTATGGAGTGACTGTGGTCTGTATTGAAAACACCGGAACGCCCCATCGAAATGTTTTCAATAGTGGGACACATGACCAGAAATCTATATACAAGTGGGAGACATGAGTTTTTTATTAATGATAACTATATCATATATATAGTTAAATATCATTTAACTATAAAGTTATATATAATCGTTTATATATAAGCATAGAACGGAGAGCTGCATTAACGGAACGTTGGTTAGGCCCTACTAGCTAATTAGGACTTTTTAATCAAAATCTCTCTGAAGAAAGGAGAGAAGAGGGATGGAGGGAAAGAGTGATGGAGGGAAAGAAGGATGGAGGGAAAGAAGGATGGAAGGAAAGAAGGATGGAGGGAAAGAAGGATGGAGGGAAAGAAGGATGGAGGGAAAGAAGGATGGAGGGAAAGAAGGATGGAGGGAAAGAAGGGAGAGGATTGACTTCTGACCTGGGGGGATTGCTGGCTACCCTGCAGGAGATGTTGACCCTCTCGCCACGACCCACTGCCAATACTGTAGGCTTGTCCACCATACACTCGGGAGGGTCTGAAACAAATAATATATAGCTCCATAATGCAGAAAATAAAGTGGTAAAGTATAATTATATTACAGACAACACCAAAAAGCGTACAGTACCCGAGAATATAAAGGGCCTTAAATAATGCAGTGTAGTTTCCCAGATTATGCTACAGTACTGTTAAAAACAATGAAGTATCAGATAATATTATGATACAGTGTAGTACCATAAATTACAGTGTAGTACAAAAGGTTTTCTATATATATATATATATATATATATATATATATATATAATATTAATAATGATTAATATATATATATAATATATATCATATATATTATATTATTGGATATAAAATGGGTCAGTTCAGGACTTTTGTCAAGCTGCAGTACCCAACACATTTCATCAACGACTGCAAAAGAAAGTTTGTTACGATCTTCCACACCACTAGACGAAGACTACAGACCGGGACATTGTTCTCTCTGTTGGACAGATTACGAAAAACAGCGACAATTTATAACTAAGAGTGAGACAGATTTAGCTATCATAACTTCCAATACTAGAACCTAATAAGAAAGAGGAACACGAGACAAAGTAAATCCAGTATTGGTATTTACACTATTTCATACCGTGGATGTGATTAACCCCATGTGGGGAAAACATCTCGGAGTCCTGATGAGCCCATTAATATAAATACGCAACAATTCTGTGCAAACCCACAATCCACTCATGAACTTCCAAAATGTCAAACTTGTCAACAGAGATTTATACGTAAGTGGCAGAAGTTGTTTAATATCTATTCGCGTCGCTACTATCAACACCATCCACCAAAACAAGGACAGTTTCCTGAACTTTTTCAATCGCCTCGGCTAGTGGGGCCAAATCTCACGCTACTGGTTAATTGAAATGGACAATTTAAGTGTCAATTCGCTGGTCGAGAAAGCATGCCAAAAGGTGTGAGATGAACGTTGAATAAATTATAACGTACTGGTGCAGGCCACATCCTATAAATGAAGCTACACAGAACAATAATAATCTAAACCTTGACGGAGACACCGGTAAAGTGCCGACAGTTGATATAGAAGACACAACTGCAGTGACGTTCTTCATACAAAATTTTACCCAGCCTGAGAAGCCCCACTGTTGGCGAAACGTAGAAATTATACAACTCGCAGGAGTCGTGTCATGTTTACCAATCCAAACCTTCCTCTTAATAAGATACATCAGCGTTGAAAGCTTGAAAATAATTAGAAGAGATATTTTTAAGTTGTTGTACAGAACTCACGAGATCGCAATGACACGATTGCAAACAAACCATACCACGGGCGGGGTTAGAACCCGCGATCAGAGAGTCTTGAAACTCCAGACCGACGCGTCAGCCAGCTGGCTCAGTGGCTAACGCGTCGGTCTGGAGTTTTATGACTCTCCGATCGCGGGTTCTCACCCCGCCCGTGGTATGGTTTGTTGTACAGAAACTTTGGAGAAAAAGAATTTCGATTTATGGTTGATAAAATTAAGAAAAGTGGCACCTTCATAGCTTAATAACAATTCAAGCTTACCTCTCTAGGTACCGTATTATGGTTTACCAGTAAATTAAAAAGTTTATTAAAGTCGATAAAAAAGTCTTCAAGTTAATGAGATCAATAGTAGAAGTTCTCAACCGATGGAATATAAAAAAAAACGTTAGATCAAAGGAACAAAGCCAGAATTTAATGTTTAAAGTTTAATTAAAGTCGATAAGAAAAATCTTTCTCAAGATATCGCATGAACAATCTTTTACTTTTATTAGAGGTATCCCCCTTCTGGATATAAGTAGAATACAAGTGAATATAATAAATTGCAATACAGTTATATTAAAATAACCGCAGTTGTGCAATTATTATAAAAAAAAACGTACCTAGATCAACAAAATAGGAAACAAACACAGAGATCTGGGGTACACCTCTGTCGTCCTGGAAAGAAAAATAACAAAATGTAAACTGCATACCAGAGCAATAATGCATCTACAGTTTCCTTCTTCCAGGAAGAAGTCCAACATCAATACCAGAAAAAGTGGTTGGCAATGTGTTTCTGGCTGTTGTGTAAGGTGGGTTTATTGTGTGTGCGTGTGTGTGTGTGTGTGTGTGTGTGTGTGTGTGTGTGTGTGTGTGTGTGTGTGTGTGTGTGTGTGTGTGTGTTTGTGCGCGCGTGTGCGTGTGAGTGTGGGTGTGTGTGTGTGTGTGTGTGTGTGTGTGTGTGTGTGTGTGTGTGTTTGTGCGCGCGTGTGCGTGTGAGTGTGTGTGTGTGTGTGTGTGTGTGTGTGTGTGTGTGTGTGTGTGTGTGTGTGTGTGTGTGTGTGTGTGTGTGTGTGTGTGTGTGTGTGTGAAAGAGAGAGAGAGAGAGAGAGAGAGAGAGAAAAGAGAGAGAGAGGAGAAGAGAGAGAGAGAAGAGAGAGAGAGAGAGAGAGAGAGAGAAGAGAAGAGAGAGAAAGAGAGAGAGAGAAGAGAGAGAGAGAGAGAGAGAGAGAGAGAGAGAGAGAGAGAGAGAGAGAGAGAAGAGAGAGGAGCCAGTTTATCAGCATCCTGTCGGCCAACATTAGAGTATTCATTACCAGTGTTGGAGAGCTCACACACAGTTTTGTGAACACTCGACGTCCCGACATGATAGCTGTTGTTGAAACATTTTTGGACGACAGGACTCCAGAAAATTTTGCAAGAATTGTTGGCTACACCTCATGGATGAGAAGAGACAGGCAAGGGCAAGGAGTAGGTGTTGCCCTGTGCTTCTCTAAAAGTGTACATAACCAACACATTGATGTTGCCGTCCCTAATCATCTTGAAATGATGTTCTACACTGCACATACTAATACCTTCGTACTAGTAAGTGCAATGTACAGACCTCAGTGGCAATATATACACCCCATCAACTTCCTAATGGGAAATGTGGACTCCCTTCTACTCCAACACAACTGTCAACATACAATTGTTGGTGACCTCAACCAACATCTTATACAGAGGGACTTTAATGACCATTCTGCAGTGTTTGACATGATAAACTTTGCTGATTTCCCTACTCACATCTCTGGCCCCTCCCTTGACCCAGTAGTGAGTGATCTGGCAGAAGGTATAGTCACTTGTCAACCCCTCGGCTATGTTGGATCGTCTGACCACAAGGCTGTTTTTACGACACGATCCCAACTGAACGAGGTGAGGAGTCCACACTCACAACCTGGCTATGGGAAAGAGGTAATTAGCCAGCCCTTTGCTCTGAGCTCGCCACCACCGATTGGAATGCTCTTCTCCAAGAGGATGCTGACAACCAAGTGAATGCCTTCACTGGACATATCCTTAATCTACAACAAGAACACATCCCTCACCGGCAGTATGTGGCGAAGCCTTGGTTCGGCTTTCGTTGTAGAGAGGCTGCTACTGCAAAGTACAAGGCCTGGAGACGGTATAAGAGACATCCCACTACCTATAACAAGAATTTGCACAGGCAAGCCGGTAGGCATATGCGTGAAGTTTAAAAGTGGGCCATTTCTAAATGGGAAGTGGACACAAAAAGAAAGCTAGCATTAGATAGAGTGGGCTCCAAAACCTGGTGGTCCCTGGTCAAGGACAGACAAGGTTATCTGCCGGATGAATTCATTCCGCCCTTAAATCAACAGGATGGGACAACCTCTACTGGTAATCAAGAGAAAGCAGACCTCTTTGCCGAACACTTTGTTACCATAATGCAAGATCCTGATCCAGCAAGGGACCCTCCTTGACTAGCTGCAAGAAGTGTATCGAAGCTGTCAGGGGTGACAATAAGGCAGGAGGAGGTGCATCTTCTTAAATCGCTTGGTCAAGAGAGGGCTTGGGCCCTTTCTCTTCTTCCTCCTCCCTCACTTCTATTTCCCTTTCTTTTCCCTCTTCCCTACGCTTCCCTTACCATTCCCTCCTTAATCGTCTCTTTTCCTTTTCTTTTTCCCATTTTCCCTTACCTATCCTGTTCATCCTTTCCCTCTTTCTCCCTCTACTCCACTTCCCTAACCTTTTATTTTCCTTTTCTTCCTCCCTCACTTTTCTCTCCCCTGTCCTCTCCTTTCCTTCTCTTCCCTTATCACCCCTTTTTATCCCGTCTCCCTCACTTATCCACCCGTTTCCTCCCTCTTATTATCCATCCCACCTCTTCCATTCCCTTATATATACATTCCGTTTCCTTCCCCGCGCATCACCTTGCCTCATTCCATTCCCTCCAGTATTCTCCAACTCTCCCCCTCTTCCTTGCCCTGCTACTCCGTCCCCCAGTCCACTTGTCAACTGGTAAATTCTCACTCTGCAGCACGACAAGTGCCAAAGTTGAGCTTAATGTACACACTGAATTGAACGGGAGAAGTGAGGCATACTGATGAGGGGAGAGGAGGAGGAGGGGGGAGAGGAGGAGGGGGAATAGGAGAAGGAAGAGGAAAAGGAAGAGGAAAAGGAAGAGGAAAAGGAAGAGGAGGAGGAAGAGGAGGAGGAAGAGGAGGAGGAAGAGGAGGAGGAAGAGGAGGAGGAAGAGGAGGAGGAAGAGGAGGAGGAAGAGGAGAAAGAGCAGGCGGAGAGCTGAGGGATTGTTGATAGGGAGATTGACCAAAGTGTCAGAGTTTGTGACTGTGTACCGTAGATGAGATCAATATTGTGTTTGTTGATCAAATGTTTAAGAGTAAATTACTGGAGGAGTAAGGTAGGTAGGTAGGTAGGTGTACTCACCTATTTGTACTCACCTATTTGTGGTTGCAGGGGTCGAGTCTTAGCTCCTGGCCCCGCCTCTTGACCGGTTGCTACTGGGCCCTCTCTCTCCCCGCTCCATGAGCTTTATCAAACCTCGTCTTAAAACTGTGTATGGTTCCTGCCTCCACTACGTCATTTTCTAGGCTATTCCACTGCCTTACAACTCTATGACTGAAGAAATACTTCCTAATATCTCTCTGACTCATTTGTGTCTTCAACTTCCAATTGTGGCCTCTTGTTTGTGTCCCCTCCCTGGAACATCCTGTCTTTGTCCACCTTGTCTATTCCAC